CGAACAGTCTCATACTGCCATAATAAGATTTTTAGGCGAAGAGAGACGAAACAGAGTCCTTTCAGGTCTTTATATGGGTCGAAGTGATGTATCACGACAAGCATTGTTAACGCCGCGCCCGCCCAATTTCTTTTGCCCCGTCTGTATCGGCAGAGCAATCTTTTCTTTTCCTTTTATTCGAAGTTTAATTCGCGCGCAACTAAACCATAACTAAAAGTTGCGCGCTCTCTCCGATCCAGACGTGGTAAGTGTTTGTCCATTTTTTATTTTTTGTAAAATACATTTATTATAAGAAACCTTTTGTTTTTTATTTAACATTTGTGGAATAACTTGCGCCTACCGTTTCCCCACGGCCAACCACGTCTACGGAACGAACGAGCACCGTGCTCCACCACCCGAATTATCATTGGTCCTTCGAGCCGGATAACAGGTAACAAGTTGATTTTAATTAAAGTGAAAGTGCATAATTTGCCCGATTTAGCAACTCGCAAGTTACAACCAAACATATTTTGGATTTCTGCTCTGCAAGCTATAAGGCAATAGATTGGTTAATTTGTGCATCATTTATGTACAAAACCTATTGTGCTGTGTGAAGTGGAGACCAAAACTTATTTTTGGCACTCTACCCACAAAATCCACGCACAAGACTCCAGGTAGTATCGTACTTCATTTAAGTACAACAATAAATACACCTGGCAAATGCACTGATCGTTTCACTTTGCATATACAAAAAAAAACACACTGTTATCCGAATAACATAATAAATTTCTTGGACGCACAAAATCGTCTGGAGCGTCAACAATCTCTCTCGGTTTTTTGTGTTTTCTGTTGGTTAATTTGAGTTTAGTCGCTCAATTCTGCCTTTCCTTATATTGCTCGAATAGCAATAAACGCAAGCAGTAAGAACGCAGCTGCAGTTTCGCGAGTGCAAACAAAAAAAAAAATAAAAATACAAAGAAAAGTGAAGTGAGCGACGGCAAAAAAGCCAAACAGCTAAGGAGAGCAGCAAAGCAAAGCAGCACAGGCCAAGCAGCAAAGGGAGAGCAGCAAAGGCAAAGCAGCACAGGCTAATCAGCAAAGGGAGAACAGCCAAGGAAAAGCAGCACAGGCCATCCCAACAAACCAGAGTATAGTGGTGAAATCGAAATAGTTCGAAAATAGCCCAGTGAACAAAGTGAAAGTGTATAGTGGATATAAATCAAATAAGTACTTGTGAATTTTATTTGTATTTGTATTCGCAATTGTAATAAAGTAATTAAGTATACATCAATTTTGTTTGTGTACACATCAGAAGACGAGGCGTGCAAGTGCATTGGGACGATTACCCAGCAAGCACACACAAATTAAATTTGAAAAAATACTTTACTCAATTTATTAATTTTTTTTTGTTCTTTCGGAAATTCACGCTTCATAAAGAAACAACGCACTGCCTATCATTAACTCAATTTGTAGTTTGTCCGTGATTGGTGCTGTAACCTTTGAACTTTTGCAACATATTTGCAAATATTTTTAAATTTTCATTTCACTTTTAGATCCGATTTTGTGCAACCAATTTCCAATTCCGGTTCAATTTTCGTAAACAATGGAATCCATCAGAGCATTTATCACAGCTGCAGACGCTCTATTGGAGTTTGAGGAGTCTTTTACTCCAACAGCAAACAACCAAAGTGCCGACTCTCTTGAAGTACAACAAGCTGAACTGAGATCTCTGTGGGCAGAGGTAAAGTCGGAATACAAGTTGTGTTTGCCAAAAGTTGATCCTTCCAACACAAGCTAAATAGACGACATTAAGCTTAAATACCCGAGCTATTATCACGCTTATGTGTGCTGCGCGGCCTTGATGTGCGAACACTTGCACAACCTCAAGGCGTTCAACCAAAGCCCAACTTCAAATTCTACAGTGATTCAAACTGAACGGTTACAACAAACTGTAGAACCCGTGAGGTATTCTATCAATTTACCGCCATGTGATACTGAGATACTTCATGGCGATGTTTTACAATGGCCCTCATTTAGGCCGCCATTTATGGGAATAACCCAAGGCTATCTCCGGTAGAAAAGTTATTCCATTTGAATCAAAAAACGCGAGGTGAAGCAAAAGCTATTGCTTCGAAAGCGCCACTGACGAATGACGGATTCGCATTGGCTTGGATTAATTTGTTGTGTAGGTATGAAAACAAGCGAGTGCTTGTCAACATACAACTAAATTTATTGTTCAAGCTTCCGCATATTTCTACAGAATCTGAGACCGAACTCAGAAATTTACAGCGGGAGATAAATAGCTGCATATCAGCTTTACAAATACATGGCATCAATTTAGATGGCTGGGATGCCATATTCACGTATTTGTGTTCTACCCGACTACCGGACTATACACTGTCGCTTTGGGAACAATCTCTGGATTCGGATTCAGATATCCCAAAATGGGTTGAGTTAGAGAAATTTCTAACCAAACGCGTTAAAACGCTAGAGAGAGTATCAAACCTCAAAGGTGAGTTGAGTACTCAACCCAATATTAAGTCAGCTGATAGTGAAGATCTTATACCAACCTTGCAGTCAAGGATTGGATCCAATCACATGAATTCCCACCACACCAAGACAAACAATATAAAATGTAAACTGTGCTCATCTCAATCACATATTCTGAAAACWTGTCAAAGGTTCATTGAGATGCAGCCTAACGCACGGTTAAATGCTGTCAGGAAACTTCACGTCTGCCTTAACTGTTTATCAGACTCACATAAAGTCAAAAACTAAAGTATGTTTAATTGTAATAAATGTAAACAGAGACATCACTCTATGATTCACCGGGATCAGAGTGAAGAATAGGTCAGATATCCGACAGCACAGACACTACTGAGATTTCTACTAAATCTCAATCTTAGTTTTAAGTAACCTATTGTAAACTGCATTTGCAGTAATACTGCAAGGCGGGGAATAGTAATACTTTTGCCACGTCTGTATCGGCAGAGCAATCTTTTCTTTTCCTCTTATTCGAACTTTTTTCGAAGTTTAATTCGCGCGCAACTAAACCATAACTAAAAGTTGCGCGCTCTCTCCTTCTGCGACCGCTCACCGATCCAGACGTGGTAAGTGTTTGTCCAATTTATTATTTGTAAAATACATTTATTATAAGAAACCTTTTGTTTTTTATTTAACATTTGTGGAATAAATTGCGCCGACCGTTTCCCCACGGCCAACCACAACTATGGAACGAACGAGCACCGTGCTCCACCACCCGAATTATCAAACATCACTACATGTTTGGAAAGTTGTAGTAACAAACACACCACGCCCACTAAGAGAAATTTTGCCTGCATTATTTAGTTTACTTTTAGGATGTTTGNCTCGTTTAGAAATGTCGAAATTATTACTCAATTTGATAAATATTTACCAAGGAAGAGTTCAAACACAAGCCGTAGGTGCAATGTTGGAAGTGGCAAACTTAAGTTCTGGCGAAGATTACTGCGCATATGCTACTGACGATGAGATAGAGCTATTTTTAAATTCATTGGAAAACAGCAAAGAGTCAGTAAGAGAAGTTGCATTGAGGGTTCTAAAAATTATTAAAAAAGTTATTTTGATTAACAATGAAATGCACCAAAATTTAATTTCTCGTTTGAAACTTCTATTATGGATTGCTATATATGACACCTCGGATGAAAATCGAATATTAGCTTCAGATTTGTGGGAAGCGGCTAAATTTTCACCACCTGAATTAGATGATGTTCTTTTGCTAGTTACACATAAGGAGCTATGTATCCAAAAAGCTGCTTCTGCATCTCTAGTGCAATTACTTTCCACTAACCATCAACAGGTAAAATATACAGTAAAATCCTTACTCGAAATATACAGAGAAAAACTGACCATGATTCCTCCTAAATTGGATCAATTCGATCGAGAAATTTTTCCTGCTATAGATCAATGGGAGCCTCGAAGAGGAATTTCAATATCAATATCACAAGTTTCAAAATTTTTTGATGTTGACGACGTTAACGAAATTATGCAATTTATGGTAGCGCAAGGATTTAGAGATCGTAATGAAACTGTCCATAAAGAAATGCTTGCCTCTGCCCTTTGTATAGTGGATTGTCATGGAAAAGAAACCATAGTCAATTTGTTACCTGTTTTCGAAGACTTTTTAGACAAAGCACCGAAATCACAAAGCTACGATAACGTTAGACAAGCTGTGGTCATTTTAATGGGATCATTAGCTCGACACTTAGAAGCTGATGATACTCGAATTGAACCAATAGTGCGAAGATTAATTTCAGCACTGTCAACACCTTCTCAACAAGTACAGGAAGCTGTGGCTAATTGCTTACCACATTTAGTTTCATCGGTAAAAGAGAAAGCTCCTGAAATTATAAAAAAGKTRTTGCAACAATTAATAAAATCTGATAAGTATGGAGAGCGGAGGGGTGCAGCTTATGGAATTGCGGGCATTGTAAAAGGTTTGGGAATTTTGTCATTGAAACAATTCGATATAATGTCAAAACTAACGACATTTATACAAGAAAAAAAAATTATAAATCACGGGAAGGTGCACTTTTTGCTTTTGAAGTACTTGTACAACGCTTGGACGTTTATTTGAGCCTTACATTGTTCATGTACTACCTCATCTATTGCAATKTTTTGGAGACTCTTCTCAATACGTTAGGCAAGCGGCTGATGATACGGCTAAAGTAGTTATGGGCAAACTTTCCGCACATGGAGTTAAACTTGTTCTTCCATCTTTACTTAATGCGTTAGATGAAGACTCCTGGCGAACGAAGACAGCTTCTGTTGAACTGTGGGAGTTATGGCTTTTTGTGCACCCAAGCAATTGTCATCATGTTTACCTAATATMGTTCCAAAACTAATCGAAGTACTTGGTGACTCACATACTAAGGTGCAGGAAGCTGGTGCCGATGCACTCAAAGTCATAGGATCCGTAATAAAAAATCCCGAAATTCAAGCTATCGTTCCCATATTGTTGACAGCTTTAGAAGACCCATCAAAAAATACTTCAAATTGTTTGCACAGTTTACTTCAAACAAAATTTGTACATTTTATAGATGCACCATCTTTGGCCCTAATAATGCCTRTGGTTGAGCGAGCTTTCATGGATAGATCTACCGAAACTCGAAAAATGGCAGCTCAAATCATAGCTAATATGTATTCCCTTACCGRTCAAAAGGATTTAGTGCCATATTTACCTAATATAATTCCTGGTCTAAAGATGTCTCTGCTTGATCCCGTGCCGGAGGTTAGATCAATTTCTGCCAGAGCATTAGGAGCTATGGTTCGTGGAATAGGTGAATCTTCATTTGAAGATCTACTACCATGGTTGATGCAAACCTTGACATCAGAATCTAGTAGTGTCGATCGCAGTGGAGCAGCTCAAGGTCTTGCCGAAGTTGTTGGTGGTTTAGGAGTGCAAAAGTTACATCAATTAATGCCTGATATTATTACAACAGCRGAGAGAACAGATATTGCTCCACATGTAAAAGATGGATATATAATGATGTTTATATATATGCCAGGTCCTTTCCCTAACGATTTTACTCCTTATATTGGCCAAATAATTAATCCTATATTAAAAGCATTGGCTGATGAAAATGAGTATGTTCATTAAAAGCTGGGCAACGCATAGTGAATTTGTAYGCCGAATCTGCAGTGATGCTTCTTCTTCCTGAACTAGAAAAGGGTTTATTTGATAACAACTGGAGAATACGGTTTAGTTCTGTTCAATTATTAGGAGACTTGCTATACAGAATATCAGGCGTATCTGGGAAAATGACTACAGAAACAGCTGTAATGATAATGATGATAATGATGATAATTTTGGGACCGAACAGTCTCATACTGCCATAATATGATTTTTAGGGAAGAGAGACGAAACACAGTCCTTTCAGGTCTTTATATGGGTCGAAGTGATGTATCACGACAAGCATTGTTAACGCCGCGCCCGCCCAATTTCTTTTGCCCCGTCTGTATCGGCAGAGCAATCTTTTCTTTTCCTTTTATTCGAAGTTTAATTCGCGCGCAACTAAACCATAACTAAAAGTTGCGCGCTCTCTCC